GTTATGAGGTTATTGCTTTAGTGTCAAAGGTTTGAGAGAAAATTGTATCCATACTGATTGTATGTATAATTAAAAACTGTGAGAAAATGTTGCATTTTGTAGATTCTTAAATTTACATCTTTAATTAAGCTTAGTTAGCTCTTAAGTCTTAATACAAAAAATAGATAAACATGCCAACTAAGTCTTAAGTCGCCTAATGTGAGTGTAATGTGAAAAATACTGTTAGAGACTTCGTATGTTTTATAGGTTAAAGGGTAGTTTAGTAGAAAACTGTCTCATACTAAACTAATTATACAGTATTACCTTTAATTTAAATTAGGTTATGTCAAGTTTGAATGGAATGCGCTCAATTGGATTGTTGAATTGAAAATCTACCTGTTCTAAACGATTATTATAACAAATTAAAACAGCATATTAAATAGCACATTTGAACTTTTCTTATAACTTACTAACATGACTTTACTTTACGTGTTTACTAACATGACTTGTATTTTAGATTGTTTTAGAGGTTTTATCATTTTAAAGAGTTAGTGCAATTAAACACCAGAAAACGACTACGAAAAATCTTCATGTGTAAAATATAAATTTTAACAGAAAAATAAGTATGGTATTTTAATAATAAAATGATTTTACATAACCCTTCTCAAGTCATGGTAAAAATCACTCTACTTAATTCCAAGGACTTCTTGATATTATTATTCTCTTTGTGTTATTATCGGTGTTAAGGACTTCGGCATATACTTGAAATACACCAAAATAATTAAATACTGTTTTATGAATATGATAAAATATCAAATATGATAAATATACTGAACCAGATTTGAGTTTTCTTATTATGAAGAATGGTTGGTATTAAGAAACTGTAATAATAAATTTACATCTATAATCAAAATATTCTTGTTCCCTTTATGTACCAATTGAATATTCAAAAGTACATATTTGCATACGTAAGAGCTTCGTTTTAGGCAAATGTAATAATACGACCTTTGTTGAAGTGACTCGATGTTTGCTATTGTTACAGAATATAAGATCTGACGATATGAGACAGATACAAAGGATGTCAGGATATGTTATAACGACATTCTTTAGAAGCTACTTTCTTGGATGATATATTTCGTCATAGTTTGAAGACAAAACATTTTTTTACATTACAGTGATATAATATACTATTTATGGAACTTACCTAAAACTTGTGGTATTTTCTAATCTTTAAGATTCTTCAACGTATTTATTTGTACGTTGTATAGAGTACGACAACTGTATTATACATTCAGATAATACGGCGTTAAGAATATCAGTGAGAACTCATTCGTGTATAAGCCCCCTCTTAACATTTATAGACGTTCATAAGATAAGGTAAATTGATCTATGTAAGGGACACAAATAATTATTTATTCTTTCTCATCCATTTTATGAAATGATTTTTTTAAATTCATGTGTGTAGTTTAACCTCTAAAGGCAGACTAATTAAGGTTTTGATTTGGTATAATTATTTTAATTAACCACTCAATCATGATTATGTATTTGCGGTTTGTACTGGGTGAAATAAAAACTCCTAGGTTATTATTAATAATATGTAATAACATTGAACATATGAAAAATATTCTTTTATAGGTAATGATAGAAAACTACAGGAGAAAATATTGAGAACTATATTGACAGTATCGATGTAGATTTGTTCAAACGTTAGAAACACCTGGTCTAATGTTTACTGATAAATAATATACTACCATTTACTTTTGGAAACAGAATAGTTGTTGTATTAATAGTCAAAGATACTACTGGGGAAAATATAACTACTGTAACAGTTGTTTCAGAATTGTGCATGTATATTTCTCACCTTACTGAAAAACATGGAAGTCTGTTTTTAAAGTGATTCATTTTGATTTCGTTTAGAGTGCGCTGGCTTGGACTAAATGTGTTTATTTTATTTTAGAACAGACTTGCGTTTTGTGCTTTATCGTTTGGTTATCATACCAAGAAACAACATGATATGCAATTACATAGTTTAATTTGGTTATACTGTAGTAGTTTTAAATTAGGTTAAATGTTGAAAAAATAGGTAATAAAAACACTCACTAAATATTAATTTGATTGAACTATCCTTTAAATAATCAGTAGCTATTCCAAAGGGATACTTAATCAGTAATAGTAATAGTTACTCGGTGATATAGCGTTATTGATTTTTTAAGTAGTAATTATATTAATTTCTGCATTGATCGTGTGTTAGCTAGAATTTAGTCATTAATTTAATTATTCATACACTTGTTAAAATTAGTAACCTCTTTAACAGATTAGTCCTTGACATCATTACGGCTCAACTTATAGCTAAAATATGATAATATACTATACAATTTTTACAAAAGTCCTTATCAGCAAACCAAGATAAATTTGAATACTTTTTTACATGAAACTTTTTTACAAGAGTAATAATTCAAAAATATTCCGCTGTAAATTTGTCACAAAAGGTTAAGCTTTCAATATATCATAGCTCGTGCGTCTGAACCACAAAAAGGCCCAAACGTAATTGTTCAGCAAGATTACATTGATCGAGAACATTTCAATTTCCAGGCTACCACTCGAGCTCGCTTTTAATTGTTTTTATTTCATTACTGTACTTTATCAGATACGAAAATGTATACATTGAAATATAAAAACAGTACGTTACTAGTATTATCATACACGTTTCTCGAGTTAAAAGTAGGCCTTTTATAGTAACACAGTTATAAAAGTGTAAAAGAGTCAAGCTGTTTATTTCAAGCAAATGTTGTCGGATTAAAATTAGCATCAAATAGGATTTGGTTTCGTAGAAAATTCTACGCTCTCAATAAAATATTTGAAATTATCTGAGTGGCAAACGAAAGCGTTTTTAACCGTGTGCTATAAAATTTCCAAACTTACATTAAGCGCTGAATGATTGATATCTTAAATGCTTACATCAGAAACGTAATAATTAAATCTGATAAAGCGAAGGGTTTAGAAAGCATTATAATTTGAATAAAAACTTTAAAATATAATTTTATTGAGTTAAAGATAATTAGCTTTCCTTCCATTCAAAGTGTCTAACCTCATTACACGACACCATGAAAATATTAATTTATGTATTTGTTTGCCAAAAATATTTGTTATACCAGTTTCAAAATTGTTTTACCATATGAAATTTATGACTTTAATAAGTGAGCATTTTTTAAGTAATACAATTTTAATAGCTACCTACTTATTTTAACAATTATTATTAAAAAACCAGAAAGTCTAATGACAACGTTTACTACAAAGTATTAATTGTCAGGGAAAGATTTAATTTAACATTAGGTAAAACTTTATTATTTACATTTCGGTTTGAATAAAACTGATATTCAGGGAAAAAACACTGCAGTAAACTGATACGTTGGTAGTGGTTATAGATGTAATTGAATATATTTCTTGAATGGCAAAAGGCAGCTGCGATCTCCTTTCGCAAGATCAAAGGCATTCAAGAAGCCTTTCAATATTCCTATTCCAAAGGCAACCAAATGGAAGAGTTTAATACCGTATTCCAATACCACCTCACACCGTGTTTGGTTAGAGAAAATATGAATACACTTGGTAATGTAAATACGTATCTTCATTTTTCATACAGTTTGTAACAGATCTCTTCAAAGGGTAATTTATCTTATCATTTTCATATTACATGATCAGTTTTTTTAACTATCGTATGCAAAAAAAACGGTTTGTTTTTCCTTCTGTAAAATAATAATTGGTATATTTTTATAAGACAACTATAATGATAATTGGACAAAATTTCGTAACTAATAAAAATATTATGTTCAAACACTTATATATAACTAAATGAACAAAGTTGTGCAAATAAATACCTCAAGTCGTCAAATAAACATACTTTCTAATTTTAAAGGTTTATTTTAGTTGTTTTTAAAAACAAAACTAACGACGAAGTGTCCATAAAGGTAAACATAATTTATTTTATCATATTCTTTCTCATCATCAACATTAATTTCGCAGTGAATTCATGTTTTGAACCAATCACATGAACAAAAGAGGTAATTAGATCATTCAGTGAGGTTTCATCAGCCTGGTAAACAATCATTAATTACTAACAGTCAACTCTTTAATATTACGCAGTGGTGAAAAAAGTGTGTAAAAGTAACACATGTAATGCCACTCTGCGACCTTTTGTAAATGTGTTACTGTAAATATTTGTTTTTATTATTAATCTGGTCAGTAGGTAACTACAAGTAATAACGACGAAGCTTTTTTTTATATATTTCCTTATTAAGTTGACAGTTTTTAAGAAAATATTATCAAAAACAAAAAGGTTTGTAAACAAAACATTTTCTTCATAACAACAATTGGAGCAATCAATAATTTGTTTGTTTAGAATTTGATATGTCATTTATACAATGCAACTTCGTTTAGCTTATGAATTACAGTTAAATCAATGTATTCTACAATTGGATGCTGATCATTCCAAAACAAGTTTCCAAAGTATCCTCAAACCCAACATAAAACGTATTTTTTTATAGAAAACCTGTCTGTTTACTATTTTACAGCTAAAAACAAGGTAATATATGCTGAACTCTATTAATATTTTTTATTTATATTAACAATTGTTTTAATTTCTTGAACGGTCATGTTTTTAATTATTGTATTTTTATAACAAACAAGGGAAGTAATGACCTTTATACTCTGTATACATGTTTTCGCCGTTTTATTTATGTACAAAACTAAAATTCTGTGGAACAAATAACTTGCCTACATAGTAAAAAAGTATATCCAGGGGAAAGACGTTTCAGTTGTTTTCATAATTGTTTACTTAAATGAACTAAGTGATTACATTTAATAATTAAAACTATCTTTTTCACGAAAATAACTATTTGACACATCAATAACACGCATTTGTTTTCGGTTAGTTCAACTTAATGGCGCATAATATCGAACAGTTTTGAAGATAAGTTTATGGGGATGGGATTTGTCGATGCGTTTTCTCTTATAGAACAAAACTATCACGTATTTAAACTTCCACTAGAAACAGAGTCGAGAGGACTAACAGTTCTTCGGGGGAATGAGAAGCTCTCTAGAGGATCCTCTATCCTCGGAAACTTGGGAGGACGAGGAAGTGAGTTGAACTTCCTTGTACATGCACTCCTATGTGAAGGCGTCGATCCTGAGGAGGACGAGTCCTGAGCTACTCCAAGAAGTCCTTGGTGAAGGATGTTGGAGTACCTGATAGGAGGATCTGTCAGTGGTCTATGAGGAGGTTTATATGTCGTGACACTGGGTGTACATGTGTGTCCAGGTCTACAGGTGTTGTCCTCGCTTGTACCTTTGACCACACAAAAGTCACCGGTGTTGCGGAGTTTTCTCTCACACGGTATGGTGTAGACCTTCCTCATCTGTCGGTCCGCTCCAGGGACGACGGCGCGCACCATGACCTCTCCAGAGGGGAACCTCCCGAGGAAGGCGAAGACCGAGAGCACGCCGGCAGCCTGGGAGAGCACGCAGGAGGCGATTGCGGCGTGGAATGATCTGCCGTAGCGGTGCTGGAACTCCGGGTAGACCATGTCTGAGAGGACGGAGACGTAGACAACTAGACCTCCGGCCAGCACCAGACCTAGGGTACATGGTGTCAAGGTTAGTGATGTAAAGAAGGTTAGGGAAAGGATAGTAATCTAAAGATTGACCTCCGATAAGATTTCTAAACATATATTTCTGTATAATATCGATTTTCAGCATGGTAGCTAAGTGGTTACTAGTTATAGTTTTTTCCCCAGAAATCTACTTAAGAAGGCCAACCCCAAGACGACCAAACAAGCTTGCGGGTTATATCTTGAGAAAATTCCTGGATAAATAAACAGATCATCTTAGTCAGTAAGAAATCCATCATCCCACCCGATAAACACACATCCTTCACTTTTTTGCAACTCGACCTTTACTGCTAGCGTCGTAGAAATCTAATCAAAATGGCTATTGTTGTTGAAAATTCACTGTTCAAAACTCTGGAAATGTGCAACGTTGTGGACATGATACGTGTGTAATTTGTATCCTTATGTAGTAAAAAGGACCAACTACTAACATTCAGCACAATTTCAAGTTAAAAACCACTAATAACGGTTTCTTTAATCAGCTTTATTTTTGAAACCAAAGAAGTTTTGACGGAAAAGGAAACTGTGTGTGTATTGAATATTCAAGTTTTAGTGAATAGCCTCAAAGGAAAATGGGTATTACCACAATCGATAGATAGGTATAGATAGATAGGTATGTAGATCCGGAGCCACATTGACCTGTATTTGTAATTGCAAAAATTAAAATTACATCAACTTCATACGTTTAAATTGTGTATAAATTCCAGGTCACTCACCTCCTATGATATATAGCCCAGAAGCAAGAAGGGTTCTAAAGTCATTGTGACAATGACCTAATACTGCCATCAGTGTTGCCAACCCCAACATGGCCGCAGCCAGGGCTACCATCGGTGTGGCGTACCTGGGGAAATATAAAATACTAATAAAGATAATAATAATAACATTTACAAGGATAAAACAAGAGACAAATCAGTATAAAACAAACAGCATAACTTTTGAGAAGTGATAAATAATGTTTTCAACTAAGCATCTCTTAAAAGCTTTACTTGCATTCAAAACTGAAAAATCTAATCTTAAAATTTGTATCTAGAATCCATTTGACACATCCTATTTCTTAATAGGCAATCATGTTTCTTGAAAACCTTTATTTCTCAGCTCTAATGCATCGAAGGGGAAATCTATGCGTACTGTTAGAAAGATAGTTTCTTGTAGATGAGCAGAATCCCTTTATAAATTTAAATAAACTCAAAAACAAGGACAAAAAATTAAGTAAAAATTTAATAAATAACATGGGCCTGATAAATTGTCATGCTGGTGAAAAAATAATAACGAAATATAAACAAAAATTGAAAATCAAAAAAATGGAAGAAATTCTAATGACGTGTATTAATTACATTGTGGGGTGAAAATAGAGAAAGCTGTACAATGTACATTACATTTTTTAACGGGGTTTCGACCACTGGTCAACCTCTAGTTTTTATTAACCTGCAATACTATAGTTTTTCCAGAAACTATTTATCAGGCAGAATGGTTTTCACATTTCCATAACGTCTAGTAATTAGTAATTCTTCTAACCTCATTTTTGTAATGAATGTCGGAGTGTATTCCAACGACGACCAGGTTATTCCTAGATCAGCTTCTCTGACTTCCCGCCAACCTGCGTACGTGATCAGCTGACAGCCAGGTATAGGCAGTACTACCAACATGATAATAATTAATCATTTACCTACAATCTATATCTATAAAAGAGGATGTTTGTATATATATTTGTTTGTTTGTTTGTTTGGGGGTGATAAACTCGGACACCGCTGAACCGATTGCCACGAAACTTGGTACATACGTGTAGAATGTCATGGAATAGGTTTATACACCATCAATTTCGTGATCCGTCCAATAGGCTCCGCCCCAGTGGCTCTGGAGTTTCCCATGTTAACCTTATGAGAAATGGAATTAATGAATCTTAACAGCTGTTTCAATTAAACAAGTTGGTTCTGTTCTATGATGTTCAATAGCATTAAAGTTACAAGGATTACCAACAGGGTGCAGCACTATTATTTCTTTTACATTTATGACAACAGCTAATTTGCAACCAAAAAGGTGAGTGAGCGTAGCGAACGAGCTAACCTGAAGGCAAGTGAGCGTAGCGAACGAGCTAACCTGAAGGCAAGTGAGCGCAGCGAACGAGCTCCAACCTAAAGGTGAGTGAGCGTAGCGAACGAGCTCCAACCTAAAGGTGAGTGAGCGTAGTGAACGAACTTCAACCAGGACGTGATTGAGCCATGCGAACGAGATCATCTTGAAAATTAAGAAGTTAAACGGGGCAAAGCCCGCGGGTTACAGCTAGTACCTATATAAAATACAACGTCGCAGGTTGAGAGCATATTATAACTAAATAATAGTTGTAATTTTTATTCTAGAACAATAAGCTTAAGAATAGTTGCAGTTAATAAAATTATGAAATGAATCATACTGTTGTCAATTTTAACAAAAAACGGCATTTATATTCGATAACTACGATACATAAGGGCATTGATAAATTTGTTCAACTAAATTCGTAGTTTTTTTCTATATTTTGCTTTTATTTGGAAATTTATCATAACATTGTAAATAATTAAGTCAGAGTTGCACCCTTAGGGCCTATAACATTTCCATGTCATCCTTGGTATTCTATCACCGGCTGGTAATATTAACATATCTTTTACAAACACGCGATATTAACATTTAAAATTTACAAAGTGTAAACATATGTATCTATTTTTCAGCCTGACTAACTATAAATAATGGAAGAACATATTATTTATACTACAGTCAAACCCTTTTAATCTCACCCCTACAAACCGTTTAAACGAAATAAATAGTATAGGTACTCTAAACAATATACAATTTATTCAATGTGCAGATCTTCCAATGAAATATTATAAAAGATTAGTCGTGATTATCATCTAACTAGCAGCTATATCCGTGCCTTGCAACCGGGTCAGTATGCAAAAGAGACAATGTTAGTTCTTTGAAAATGGCTTTAAAATGGTTTCACACCTACCATTTAATTTAGAAACGAAATTGAACTGTATTACTTTACTTGATAATAGTACCTTGTTAACTCTGTTTGTGAACTCTTATTTAGGCTACCTAAGATACAAAATCAATGATAGATTAAGGTACAACCAAATAACATGTTTAATGGTGTGTACTGTAAACGAAAAGCTATCGCAATTATTTCAAACCTGCCAATAGTGTAGTTTTCTAACATATTTTAGTGAAATTAATATCAGAGAAATGGAAATTCGCTTTATCTGCAGATTTGCTGGGGCAGTGGTATCTTATTACTGTTTAAACAAAAATATATCTAAAAAGTAATTCTCGTAAAACTCAGTATAAGAGTCTATGTTGATACAGCAATGATTATAGAATCTAAATATAATTTCCTATATCAAATAATAATTTCTTTTACAATTACTTATTCCCTGTAAAATGTCATTACAGCATTTCACAAATATGAGAACAGGCTCAGTATGGATCATAAACATAAACAAATGACGTAACTGAAAGAATCCTTTAGTCATTGACATTAACATATGATTTAGTTCCATTTTAGAAATGTTAAATAACGTTTAAATTCGGGTGAGTGATATAATTTTTTTTATGTTTATGATCCATACACTTTCTGTCCTAATACCCGTGCAGTATTTAATTTGTTTGAACCAGCTGTGTGAAATTTGTGAAATCCAAATTCATTTGACAGATCGGCTTGTTTACATTTAAACTTTGTGAGATTGTACTTTGTTACCATGGAAACCAATCATTACAGTAATTACTTTTCAATCTCTCACCTCAGAACTTTGAAAGCCAGTGGGGCAGAGTCCTAGGTCAATATCGAAGGGAGAATAGGTTTATATGTATCCTCGGAGTGGTAGTTTTTTTTGTCCATTCTGAGCCCAGTCGGTCCAGTAGTTTTTGAGTTTAGCTCATAAAATCATACAGACAGACACCACCTCTTCTTTATAATAGCATTGAGTATACACGTAATAGTAAGTATACATGAAGCAACTGTAGAATTTCATTTAATATTCAGGTAAGAAGATACATTGTCTCACTCAGGTAACATTAAATCTCAGGTATCTGACATTGCAATAGCTGCTAGGTAACGATGATCAGCTTCCAACAGTCTAATCTCTAATGGCAATCAATCTCAGCTAACCATTATGTAACAGTACAGTCACAGGAGTCTGACATAGTAACAGTTGCTAGGTAACGGTGATCATTATAAACTTATGATTCTACGATCAGCTTCCAACAGACTAATCTCTAATGGCGATCAATCTCAGCTAACCATTATGTAACAGTACAGTCACAGGAGTCTGACATAGTAACAGTTGCTAGGTAACGGTGATCGTTATAAACTTATGATTCTACAATCAGCTTCGTACAGACTAATCTCTAATGACAGATCAATCTCAACTAACTACTCTGTTACCTAACTATACTACTAGTTGTGTACTGTCGATGGATATTTGAGTTTACCTAACAACATTGGTCTATGTTACTTTATCTGTTCGTGGTTATTGTGAAATATAATCATATAGGTAATAAACAAGTCTAGATAAATACTGTAAATACTTAAAAGAAAGGTACAATCAAACATAGATTCCTGTGCATATTTTATAATGACTGGACTAATAATGTGGAAGGTATTAAAATCGATTGCCTCTGTAACATATTGTATAGGTATGTATCGTTTTGAAAATGCAGTATAAGAATAGATAAATCGGAAAATTTTGAGGGACGTGTTTGATTATATAATATATTCACGTGCTTATATCCTTTTTCGATACAAGAATATTTTACCAAGCGGTTTTGTGTGAAGATAACAAGTCAAGTGTTGTAAATTATTCAAACCAAAGTATAGATACTGTTTTATAGAACAATCATTTTAAGGATTCGAGGAACATATCTTATGTAAATGTAAATAACGGGAAGTATTCATTTCTAAACGACATGGTATTTTAGGTGAATACATCAGTATGATAAATACTTTTGGGCATCATCACCTTATTGAAATCAAGAGATCACAGTGCTTGTCATAACACATATCACAGTTCATTGCACATACACGTTGATAAAAAATACAGTCTGTAATTTTAGTTTTAGTTTTATTTTTGTATTTTGATGTCCAAAAATATTAATCATAGTGAAGTTTTCAGTAAATGCTAATTTGTATCCAAACGAAACATGGACAAATTATTAAAAAAAAATCATTTACGTAACCCTTTAGAGAATGCCTAATCAATATTTTTTTAATAATAAATATTTATACAATAAAGGTGTAGCTACTATACTCATAATGCTATTGTTTTAAATATTTAAGGATAATCAAAAACTAAGTGAGTGCAAGAAAAATAAAATTTTGAAAACAACGTTTCAAAACACAACGTTATTGTTATTTTCTTCAAGACAAACAAAACAATAGAATAATAAAAGAATAAAAACTAAAAACTAAATCCTGACCTCCTTCTTTACGTCATTAAAGAAATGAAACAATATCAATTGGCCATTGAGTTGTAGTTTCATTCTTGTTGAATTGTATGCAAAAGGAGTTAAACAACTGGAATTGTATTGAGATATTCAATCTGGACTTAAACGTTGGTTTTAAATAATTAAAGGTATGGTTTTCCTTGTAATTAGTAAAAATATTTATTTACTTAAGTTACCTTTCGGGTATATGAAATTGAATGGCATATTTTGGTTGTGGGTTTTTATAAAGACATTTCGTTTGAATATATATTTTTCCTCGTCTCAGTCTAAAAAACCACTGTGTCATATTATTTTTTATATTTTATGTATATTTATATTTTTTTTTACATAAGTAAACATAAATTATATCAAAAGATCCAAGAAATTATCTAGACAAAAGGAAATCGTTTATCTTGACATAATCGGATGAGAGTGTTTTGTTTGATTTAAAAACACTTGACCACGCAGAGATGCATTTTGTTGAGCCGGGATCTATTGTTGATTATTTTTTTATCGAAACCTGAATCCGCAGTCACAAAAAAATATTATACCGACAGTTATGTTCAACTCTTTAGATGATTTAAACAATTGATTTTTTACAATTTTCACATATTTTTATTTTTACTATATCTCCTCATGTGGTTGATGGTACCGTTGTAATTGCTTATAAAAGCATGAGGTATATAAACTCCTAAAGAGATTGTGTAAGTAAAGATAATGTATTTCTTTACGTGATGGTTTTCAAACATTCAGATACATGATAAGGAAGAGCTTCGTATAAATCCACCCATGTTTGAATTTACATACATATTGGTTTTGGAGATTGGCCATAACATGTAAAAATAGTTTGAACAATACTCCGTCCCATTTAAAGTTATGAATAGTTTAAGACAAAGTGGATGCTTATCATAGATTATAAGGAAGTTTAAAATACAAGCAAAGCCATCTACAGCAAACATTTCTTTCCAAATATATCAAAAGTTATTTGCAATTGAAATGAGAAATGTTTTCCTGGTGCTCAAGATTAAAAATCGAAGATGCTTTTAAACTAATGACAATGTTTACGAAAACATAAACCTTGTCAAAACTTGCCTCTGAAGATGTTTGTGACGAGGTTGAAACTTGTAGCAAGTTTGCATTGAATCTGAAACTTCATTAGCTATGAGAAGCTGGGGAATTTCCTACAAAGGCATTT